TGTTCTGGAACAGTGTTGTAAATACAACTTAACCACTGATTTCTAGTCGCGTCCTCTTTTGGAAGACCAAACAAAGTAGTTTCGCTTTCACAACGAAACACACAGCATCACACGCCTTGAGTGAGCGGAGGCCGGTGGGCTTGAGAACGGCACGGCCGGTGGAATTCGACGAAGGAGCGTCCGGCGGGCTTGCGGCAACCACATGTGACGACCCCGGGCTGGACTCTGCTTCGTCCACGGTGAAAGCCGATCCGGTGATCCACAGCGTGAAGTTGTTGTATTTCCTCAGCGACCAGCACGGATAAGCTTCAGGCATGACGAAGCGATATCATCCTCTTTTGGAAGACCAAACAAAGTAGTTTCGCTTTCACAACTAAACACACAGCATCTCCACGACATGGCGGCGGTGGCAAAAACAATACTACAGCGAGAATAAAAGTTACACCTTCTTTCTTTGCGTGAACATTTGGGCGGCGTTATGCAAATCTTCCCACACAGTGACGCAGACATGTGAGGGCGTGTTCGAACGAGCAATTTTTGGTAGGTGTGGTTGACTCTTTTAAAAATAGTGTCTCTTTGGATTTGGGACTTTAGTCTTTGCAACTTTACAGATCTTCTTTATGCACCAAGAGCTTGTAACACTTCAAAGAGAAAGGAAAAATTGAAATCGCATCATATGACCCCTTTAATAATGTTCTCACCACAGGTGACATTTCGAGCTTAAACGCTCTTCATCAGACAACGAACATACATGACAATGCCCTTATATACACAACACTAAATCACATGATTGCCCACATGACCACAAAAAAAAAAAGGCAGGGCAATCAACAAATCGTGTAAGAAAATGGCAAAAAGCAAATGACATAAAAGTGAGAGCAGCAATAAATTACAAGCCCAAATACATTTCACTAAATACCTAACTGCAAAATGTTCAAAATTACACTAAAGAAAATACCAAAATGCAAAAAATACATCCAAAACAAAAAATGAAAGCATAATAGAACGTGGTAAGTCTTACCATCTAAATCACTATAATAATTAAAGAAAAGGGTGAATATCAAAATCTTCATTGAGACCATTAGGAGATAAAGTATAAAACAACCAATGTTATTTATATGTTGCATTGTCCTTGTGGACTGGGCTACGTGGGGAAAACAAGTAGACAACTTAAAACTCGTATTGCTGAACATAGATATGCAATTAGGCACCATGACCCTAGAAGTCCAGTAGCACAACATTTTTCCAAGTTTAAACATTCGGTTTCGACTCAATATATTGGCATCGAAGCAGTTAAATTACCTTGAAGAGGGGGTGATATTCACAATCTACTTTTAAAACGTGAAGCATATTGGATTTATACTTTGAATACTTTATCTCCTAATGGTCTCAATGAAGATTTTGATATTCGCCCTTTTCTTTAATTATTATAGTGATTTAGATGGTTAGATTTACCACGTTATATTATGCTTTCATTTTTGAACATATTGCAGTTAGGTATTTAGTGAAATGTATTAGTGCTTGTAATTTATTACTGCTCTCACTTTTATGTCATTTGCTTTTTGCCCTTTTCTTACATGATTTGTTGATTGCCCTGCCTTTTTTTTTGTGGTCATGTGGGCAATCATGTGATTTAGTGTTATAATGTATATAAGGGCATTGTCATACATGTTAATTGTCTGATGAAGAGCGTTTAAGCTCGAAACGCCACACTAAATACCTAACTGCAAAATGTTCAAAATTACACCAAAGAAAATACCATTAATATGTGGTAAATCTATCCATCTAAATCACTATAATAATTAAAGAAAAGGGTGAATATCAAAATCTTCATTGAGACCATTAGGAGATAAAGTATAAAACAACCAATGTTATTTATATGTTGCATTGTCCTTGTGGACTGGGCTACGTGGGGAAAACAAGTAGACAACTTAAAACTCGTATTGCTGAACATAGATATGCAATTAGGCACCATGACCCTAGAAGTCCAGTAGCACAACATTTTTCCAAGTTTAAACATTCGGTTTCGACTCAATATATTGGCATCGAAGCAGTTAAATTACCTTGAAGAGGGGGTGATATTCACAATCTACTTTTAAAACGTGAAGCATATTGGATTTATACTTTGAATACTTTATCTCCTAATGGTCTCAATGAAGATTTTGATATTCGCCCTTTTCTTTAATTATTATAGTGATTTAGATGGTTAGATTTACCACGTTATATTATGCTTTCATTTTTGAACATATTGCAGTTAGGTATTTAGTGAAATGTATTAGTGCTTGTAATTTATTACTGCTCTCACTTTTATGTCATTTGCTTTTTGCCCTTTTCTTACATGATTTGTTGATTGCCCTGCCTTTTTTTTTGTGGTCATGTGGGCAATCATGTGATTTAGTGTTATAATGTATATAAGGGCATTGTCATACATGTTAATTGTCTGATGAAGAGCGTTTAAGCTCGAAACGCCACCTGTGGTGAGAACATAATTAAATACTTCTCTATCTCTGGAGCTGTGGTGTGCCTACTTTGATGTTTTCATTCTTGTTTAATTACACACATATTCCGTCGAATTGTTGTATAAACGCAATATCACTCTTGTATTCGAGGGATACCGGCTCTATATCACTCAAGTACGAGAGTGTTACCGGCTCTATATCAGATAGAGCCTGCGGCCTCGTGCCTCTAGCCTAATCACAGCCATGCTGATATAGAGCACTGCACTGCCAGCACTGTCTTAACCCTCTTTGGCATGGAGTTCACCAGAGCTTCAAAGGTTGCCACTGGAGTCCTCTTCCACTCCTTCATGACGACATCATGGAGCTGGTGGATGTTAGAGACCTTGAGATGCTCAATAGGGTTTAGGTCTGGAGACATGCTTGGCCAATCCATCACCTTTACCCTCAGCTTCTTTAGCAAGGCAGTGGTCGTCTTGGAGGTGTGTTTGGGGTCGTTATCATGTTGGAATACTGCCCTGCGGCCCAGTCTCCGAAGGGAGGGGATCATGCACTGCTTCACTATATCACAGTACATGTTGGCATTCATGGTTCCCTCAATGAACTGTAGCTCCCCAGTGCCGGCAGCACTCATGCAGCCCCAGACCATGACACTCCCACCACCATGCTTGACTGTAGGCATATATATATATATACATACATATGGGTCAGATTTATCATTTTTGTTATTACATTGAAAGTATGTAATTTTGTTGTGGCTTTCCAAAGTGATTATTACTTGCACATGGTTATTGTTAATTTTAGACCCTGATTACTTAAGTGCTATAATAAATGTTCTTCCAAAAATGTATTTTGCACTAGTTGCAAAATAAAACACTTCAATAAAATAAATATCATGCTTATACAGGCAAAACTCTTTGAAAAGCAAGCTTTGAAGTACATGTGAGAAGTCACTGTAACATTAAAATTCTTTCAGAAGGACTAGTAAACATGAATACTTCACAACAAAATATTTAAGATATACTCACCATCAGACACTAAAATACAGCTGCCCGGTCTGTCAAAGATTTTCTCACTGAGATCCTCCAACAGAAGAGTTTGAGTTGTTAGTTTGTGCAGGTATGTCTTGTGCTGCGAGTGGCTTCCTCCTGAGGTCAACAACTGCATCCCATACATAGAGAAACTTCAGCATTTTATATTAAAAAACACAATGACACAGTTCAATCTGTTTATGCTGTAAATGTGCTGTCTACGGACCATGTTCGGTGTAAAAGACAAAGAAAAATCACAATATTTTGGAATCTGAGAAGGAGAAAATTAAGTTGGAAGGTGGAAAAACAGAATCACCTGAATGAGATGACTGCAGTATTGTAGATGAACAACAATGGCCACATCTAGGTTCTCGTTTCCTGTGGTGAGAGGCAACGGGCTGCCGGCCACACTGTTCCCCATACCAGTGTCCTCTGTGAGGGCTTCACTCAGGTGGCCTCTTGCTTCTGGATGTTGGCCTGACCTGTTGAACATGCAAGAAATACTGTCACCACCAGAGGGCGCTACACAATCACAACTACCGAGGCCATGAAGTTCCTCAGAGAAACCTGACCACCAAAGGGTTTAATGTCCAACTCACCCAATTCTCTCTGACTCCATGTCAAAGAAGACAGTGCGTGAGAGGGTGGCAGCATCATCTCCTGTGTCATCGTCATCAAAGTCAGAGGTGTTGAGGAAGTCGAAACTTTCCAGAGCGCTCTCCACTGTCAAACTGAGGCTGGATGAACGGCTCCTATGAGCAGGTACCCGACACTGAGGAGAAACAACAACCTTCATTCAAGACTGAGATCATCTGAGACAAGGGGCTTGTTCACACACAACAAGTTCTTGCATTCCAATTTGCTGCTTTTCGATTATTTTCTTCTTCTTGTGCATGACAGGACACTCTAAAAACGTGATGCTCAAAGTTAAAAAACACTTTCAATAAGCCAAGAGGAGACTGCTTCCCTGTTGTAAACAAAACTTGGTTCTCACGAGACACCTTAGCATATTCTCACCAGAGCTTACGCTACGCCTATGTCCTCCGTCATCTGCTGGAACGCCACTCTCTTATGAACGTGTTTATGACAGCGGAAGCTAGGGATTACAGTTTTCTTACACAAATGCATCGCTTCACTTCAGGAGTGAAGGTGGACTCAATCAAGGTGGACTCAAGAACAAATCCACCCTCAAGTCTTACAAAACTGTGCATTATCTGAATGCTAGACCGCCCTTTTCTTGCTAACCGTGGATCTTTGATACCTAAGTTCATGCTAATCAAATGAACCAAGCTTCATGATCAAACAAACTCAGGTCTGCATCAAAATTTCAACAGTAACTCTTCTAATTAAAGACCACAGAAAACTCATTCACCTTAAGCATGTCTTCGAGTCTCATGACCTCCTGCTCCAAGTCCTGCAGCTCCCCACAGCGCTGGCCAAAGCTCTCCAGCCGCAGGAGCAGGGACTGAATGGCCTCCTCCAGGCTGCTCTCCTGGAAGGTCCTGCTGCTCTCTCCAGACCAGCTCACAGTGCTGGCCTCGGGCAGCATGTCAGAGGAGGTGAGCCTTCTCACCAGCTGCCTGGTCAGACTGCCTTCCTCCCCATCCAGCTCCACCGGCTTCAGCTCCAGGGCTTCATCAGGCATGTTGGGCTCCAAGAACACCACATCCTCGGGTCCCACCGCAGACAGCTGACTCTCGTAGCACAGCGAGTGGGCCGCTGAGCCTGTGCCATGCCCCTGGGCCTCAGCCTGGTCCCACTCCAGGTCTGGATCGCTGACACTGCCGCAGTCTTCCTCCACACACTCCTCCTCAACCGGCTGGTCCTCAGAGGCTGGAGCCGGCTCAGAGGGAGGGTTTGTCTCAGGGGGCGTGACGGTGATCTCAGGGTTTGACTGGATGGGGGCGCGGCTTGAGGTGGGCGTGTCAGAGAAGGTGAAGGACAGGCGCTTGCATTCGGCCACACCGCAGCCTCCGTTCTCAAAGACATCATCTGGTAAAATGGACTGTTTGATGGAAAGAGGAAGAAAATATGGTAAATATGGCTCCCTGATGTCATTTATTCCTATCAGCACTATTATCTATAGAAGTTTTAGTGATCTAAAGATGCAAACAATATTTTCTGTCCAAAAGTCAAGCACACTAAAGAGCAGCAGAACAGTTAAAGACTTCCATGAAATGGTTTTTAACACAGGGATTCCCAAATGTTTTGTCAGCCAAAACTGTTTGACCTAAAACACTGACCTGATGTAACTTCTAAGTTAATATTTCTATATTTTAACAAAACATTTGCATGTTCTCATTTCTCTGTTAAATACACCACTATTCAGATGTTTGGGTAATTTTTTTCTATAAAGAAATTCATAGAAAGAATGCATTAAATTGATCAAATGTGACAGTAAAAACACTACAAATGCAGTTCTTTTAAACGTTCTATTCATCAGAGAACCCTGATAAAAACCAGAACTACTGTTTTAACATTGATGTTTCTTGAGCAGCAAATAAGCATATTAGAATGATTTCTGAAGGATCATGTGACACTGAAGACTGGAGTAATTATGGAGTAGCTTTTCATAAACTCAGGAACCCCCAGCAGTTCCTTCTTTTGGGAACCCTGGTTTAACATATCTAAATGTTCTTTCCAGGAAGTTGGGGTGGGACATCTCACAGTCTGTTCACTGACCATGAGATACATACTACACATAAAACTGGAAAGCAATTGTGAAAACTACAACAACCTTTGCTACCTAACAACAACCTAAAATAATCTAGGCTGATAATTTGTGCTCTTGTGATTTGTCAAAGTTTACATGTGGGTGGCTTAAACATGTAACTTTAAGATGGTCTATTTCATTAGGTAGGGGGTACTTGGTCAGATTTTCATTTACTGTAAAAATTTCTATATGCTCTTGTGGATAGGATTAGTCGATATTTTAAGTCCATCTTCCTGAAAGAATAATGTCTGCAAAATTTTGTTGTTGTTGTTATTTGCACACAAAAGGACTCAAAGCTAACATGAACTCTCCCATTAGGAGTCGCCACAGTGGAATTATCCGCACAAAAGCTAACATGAACTAAAAGCCACAATTTTTATTTCATAGGGTCTTTAAACATCATAATATTATAGTTTGGAAAAGTGTATGTGTGAATGTGAGGGAGAAGAAACGTGTGTGTTTGTGTGTGAAAAAAGCAGAAAACGCAAGCAAAGAAAAGAGCCACACGCAGATGTTCACTCAGAAGGGCAGGACACATAGTGACCTGACTCACGTAGACCTCCAGACTGGACCTTGAGCGAGGTCTCAGCGCAGCCAGATCGCCAAAAGAGCGACTGCGTCTGAGTTTCTCTAAGAGCGTCTCTCGGAGCGTGTGCAAGAATGAGAGACGCTGACCCTCCCACCTCCGAGGATGCCACTTCTTTGCCATTGACACAAACACACACACACACACACATGTACACACAACAACCATGATGCACATGGTGCCACGGGGTGAATACAATTCATTAGACACAGCAGCACAGACTAAACATGAACATTCACACACAAGATGCAAGTGCTTTCATATTCAATAATACACACAAAATAATAAACACTGAACCCAGAACAGCTAGCCAGACTCAGTAGTGTTATATTTAGTTTAGTACTCAGCTTTTAAGGAGGGAAATGTGACAGTGTGATCTAACACCTGATCTGAAAACCTCAATATCCTGTCTCATACTGTATGTATGCACATAGATTTTAGATTCCAGATGTTTAAATAGTTGTATCTCAGTCAAATATTGTCCTATCCTAACAAACCATACATCGATGGAAAGCTTATTTATTCAGCTTTTCAGATTATATTTAATTCTCAATTAAAAAAAAATGACCCTTATGACAGGTTTTATGGTCCAGGGTCACACATTTGAAATGTTCTAAATAGCAAATTTATCATTACAAATGTGTAATTACAAATATATTTAAATACACAGAAGAGATATGTTCAAATACAATATAGATAATTATGAAATTTCATATAAAGTTGCATTTAACATAAATTTAAGCTATAATATGTTTTCATTTCATTTTAAACAACAGGCAAGTGTCTTAAAACATTTAATGCACACTTAATTATATTCTTTTATTTCTGTACTCATTTTAAAAGAATGCTTATGTGTACTTCTTTTTCACAAGGGCAGGATTTATGTGTGTAATGATGCAGCTGCAAATCAAGCTTATGTGTTTAGCATGATGATAGAAGCAGGACTTTTAAACAGAACTGAGAGGACTTTTCAGAATTGCACTCACAAAGAAAGACGTGTCCTGGAAAGTGGGCGTCTCGGGTGTGCCTTGGCTGTACACTGAAACTCGTCTCTGAAGGGCGGTGGCTTTACTCACGTTTCCTGAGGACAGTGTCAGATCCTCTACATCAAATGGACTGTAAAAACAAGACAGACATGCATTCATGTACAGCAATCTAATATCATACTTAAGTATTTAATGAAAGAAAACACTAAAATTACTGAAAAAAAAAAAAAACATATGTATTAACAGTTAGGCAGAAGTACAGTGTCTGAGGAGGGCAGTGTATATCATGACTTTCATTTACTGTGGCTGAAATGGCCACACTTCTTATCTTGTTTTATTAGATAACTTCACTTACAACCAGGCAACCTCCAGGTTAAGTTTAATGGTTCCCAGGTCGTTGACATCTACTGCTACCACCTGAGGCATAGCGGTGAACAAGTCCTTGGTTTCACAGATCACACTACCCACCAAGATGTGAGTGGCCAACCCCTTTAACTCTGTCACCTAGTAGAATAAAGATAATGAATTGAGAATTGTCAATTCAGAAATGTTTCATTCAAGATAAATGCATAGCAAATAGCAGATAAATGCAAATTTATAGGAGTATGTTTTTTCGTGCATTCATCGAGGGTCTAACCAAATATTCAAGATTGAGGGTAAGAGATGTAACATTTGAGCAAGCAATGTTGATTAATATTGAGGGGACGTGTCTTTTTGAATGTCTTTGGTGGTTACAACCCAGTATGTCACTGTCTGAATTAGTCACATTAATTAATGAACGACTGTGTGGACTGGAGCCCACCTTGATGTTGATGAGGTCTGTAATGAGGGGCATGAAGATCATCTCTTCTCCATCCCAACTCTGCTTGGAGTTCGTTTCGATCTTCCCCTTCAGTTTCCACCGCTGTCGGCCGTATCGCATGAAAATCTGCCAGAAAAAGAAAGAACAAAAAATGTCAGAATTAGGAAAACGCTGCCAACACAAGTTCACATAATTGTTAATAGAGCAGTAAAGCAATGGGAGTTTTCAGTGTTTAGTTTTATACAGCCTTGCAAAATCTAATTGGGTTTGGTGGGTTGTATGTACTTGCGGATCAGAAGAGAAAACTTTGCTAGGAGAGCTGTGATTACGAATTAACTGGATGTACTTGGCAGAACAGCAGGCAATTACTACAAGCGTTTAGTCATTTGATAGAAGACAGACGCATCTGGCTTTATTACAGAAAAAAAGAATGCATGAATCTCAGTATGTTCTGAAAGAGTTTACGTACAAACAACTTACCTCATACTGATCGCCGGGACAAAGCCTGGCAAAACCAGCCAATCCTGAGACAGAGAGCAAAGGAGTTGAAAAGTTTGTTATTGATATACAACACATACTTTATAGATTTTTTTTCAAATTTGTGTGCAAAAATCCTGTACCTTTCATTTTGATATGAAACTCCCCCAACAGGTTCTCCAGCTCGGCCTCAAAAGTGCTCATGTTCTGAGGAGACGGGAACATATGGTAATATGAATGACAGGTGAAATGAGAGATTTAATTGGCCATAACATTTCTTACCACAACTAATGGTATAAGGACCAATTCTCACTATTAACGAGTTGCTTATTAATAACATATTGGCTGTTTATTAGTACTTATAAAGCACATATTCTGCATGACCATATTCTACATCCCTAATCCTACCAATACCTAAACTTAACAACTAGCAAATTATTGAGGCAAAAGTCATAGATTATTAAAAGCGAGAACTGGACCTTAAAATAAAGTGTGACCAAACTATTCTTACTAAACAGTAATCTGCATTATTGTTATTAAATAAATCAAAAAGTATATATATTATATATTTATTATTATATAATGTAATTATTGTAGGCAGTTTGTTTGCATATGTTATGTATAATTCTAATTATATTAAATATAACTGTAGCAAAAGTTTGAAACAAATTGTGATTTTGTTCCTCTTATTTTAGTTTTTGACCTGTTTTTCCCATTTATAGTTTGTTTTTGAAAGAAGTCTTTAATGCTTACCAAGGCTGAATTTAGTAGATCAAGTAAAAATAATAAAATTGTGAAATTATATTACAATTTAATTTAATTAACATTAATGCTGTCAAACGATTAATCGCAATTAATCACATCCAAAATAAAAGTTTTCGTTTACAGTATATATGTATTGTGTAAACACATGCATGTATATATTTATGAAAAATATGTTATGTTTATATGTTAAATATATTTATATCTAATATAAGAATATAAATATATACATGCATGTGTTTACACAATACATATATACTGTAAACGAAAACTTTTATTTTGGGTGCGATTAATCCTTTGACAGCACTAATTAACATATTTAAAAAAAACATTTATTTCTATGATGACAATGCTGATTTTAATTTCTTCTCATTATTAATGTCGAAAAGAGTTGTGCTGTTTTATATTTTTGTGGAAAGTTACATTTTTTCCAAGATTCTTTGATGAATAAAAAGTTCTAAAAGAACAGCATTTATTTGAAATAGAATTCTTTTGTAACACTATACATGTCTTTACTGTCACTTTTGATCAATTGAATGCATACTTCCTGAATAAAAGTATTACATTCTTTTAAAAAAAAAAAAAGAACCATCAATAGATATATACACGTCTCATACATACTCTTTTTTGACTGTTGCATCATATCTGGCATTACTAATATGCTGTGTCGAAAATAGTTTGACAATGTTTGACAAAACATTTAAAAGCTCGTCTTGAGACCTGCATGTCTTATGTAAATGCCCTCTCAGATACAGATGAACCCGAAACCAGCCTAATTACACAGACCAATTAGTCAATTAGTCATTCAGACAATCCACACTCTAGTTGATTCAAAATATGTACTCTGCTGCAGCGTGAACAAAGCAATAAAAAAACGGCCAACTGGTGAGACAAGCAAACATTAATAATGTACCTCTGTATACTCTTTGTATCTGCGGTTGACCTCCGCCAGGCTCTCACGTGTGCCTTTAGTGGAGGGTGAAGCAGTGAAGGCCTGTTTCATCTTACTGGCGCCATCACGCAACCTTCTCTGAATACAAAAGCCCTCGTACAGCTCGTCGACCTGTAAAAACACACACACACCGCATTGACACAAAGACTTATATTACACAAAAGCAGCACTGCACATGCTCACGCATGCTAGCGCTCACTAAAGATTGCATAAACGCTAGCTTTGATGTCTAAAGTGCTTGCATCATTACAGAGCCCTGGGGGTCCCCATTCAGCAGAGAAACGTGGCTTTTACAATCTACTGTAACGTTCTGTCAGCACAATGGAGCGGCTTACTGTACCGAGCGCTGAAAATGAATTTGAACACTTCAAAAGCAAACACAAAATGACGCAGCTCAGCCCTGGGGACAATAGTAATGCCATACTTTTGTGACAGACGAGCAGCTCGGAGTCACGGCCTTTATCATGGAAATGCACATTTAGCACATTCACAACTCGGTGAGCACTGGCCGGCTCAAATTAGCTATGCTAATCCTACCAGAGAGAGTGATTGAGGGGGATGGAGAGATAGCAAGAGGGGCAAAATGAGATGGACCACGAGTGACAGAAACAAGTGAGCCGAAAGGGCCAGCAAGAACAGAGAATGATGGGGGAGAGAAAATAGAGTAGGCAGGAAGAGGGATGGACACTGGAGCTAAACGAGATCCAGCAGTGATTTCCTGTGATGCAGTGTTTCCTGCACCGCTGCTGAATCTGCAGTGCCACAGCAAAATTATACATATATTAGGAAAGTTAAGGTGTTGATATGCCATTTGTTGGGTTTTTTAAAGCTGTTATTTTAAGCACTTCGCATTCAAACGGTTTCCTTTCGACCTGACTTGAACTGATTGTTCCGATTTGTCTGTTTCAGTGGGAAACTCTTTAAATGCAGTTTATTTATAAAACAAAGCTTTCTACAAAACAAAACAATAATTGATTTCTATTTTAATATATTTTAAAATGTAATTTATTCCTGTGATGCAAATCTGAATTTTCAGCATCATTACTCCAGTCTTCAGTGTCACATGATCCTTCAGAATCATTCTAATGAGCTGAATTGGTGCTCAATAAACACTTCTTGTTATTATCAATGTTAAAAACAGCTTTATATCTTTGTGGAAACCATCATATATTTTTTCAAGATTCTTTGATGAATAGAAAGGTCAAAAAGAACAATTTAATTAGAAATATAAATCTTTAGTAACGTTATAAAAGTTTTTACTGTCACTTTTGATTACTTAAATGCATCCTTCTGAATAAAAGTATTACTTCACTCAATAAAAAATGAACAGCAGTGTATAAAAAATTAAAATCAGTTGTACTCTTTGGATGGCAGTTCCCATTTATAGAAATCTTAATCCGGTTAATGTGAAGCCCATAAAGTGCAGAGCAGGTTGTTTTATTATTTAATTATTGCTTATTTGTATTGAGTTCCAGCAGTGCATTCTGATTCAGTTTCAGTAAATACAGAATGTGTTTTTGTGGTAATGAAATGAGAATGCTAATTACCACACTTGTTTCGTGAGTGTTAACAAGCAAACTGCCTACAATATATATATATATAGTATATACAGTTTTAATCATCTGGCTGAATCATGGACTGAATCAATCTGACATTTCACTGAATCGGTTCGGATGACTCGCTCGCTCACTAAATGACACATTATTATTATTAATGTCTGACTCAACACAAGCAGAGAACAGTTACAAAGAGCAGTGTTCAAAATAGGTACATTTAAGTAAGTAAAGTTATTGAAACTTAAATCAGTTTATACCAAGTTAATAGTGTAGCAGAATGGAGTTTCAGAGTTTTGTTACAATGGTATTTTAATCAAAAGCAATTATATGTTGGAGAAAATAGAATTGTTAATGTTTAGTAAGATGTTTTTCGGGTTTGAGGGGGTTGCCCCCCACTGGAAATACAAAATCTTGTAGGAAACCCTGCTGTGATGCCAAGGATGTGCCCTACTGAGCGCCGCTCTGCGAGGAAGTCTGTATGAAGATTTAATCCATAACGTACAGATAGTCTCTTATAGGAGAAAACAAAACATGTCAAGATACTAAATCAAAAGGAAATATTCAAACATGCAGCGGAGGGGCATGAAATATTGATGCGGGGCTTTTTGAAGTCTCTCATTAAGGGGAAAGGGTGAGAAACGGGACAATCTAACCCAATTAGTGTGTGTGGTGGGGTATATTAACTGTGCGTATGATGGATGTGCATGTGTGTGCTATGATGTGTGGGGGTTGCTCATGATAAACGACATATATTAGACAAACAGTTAGCTGTGCTCATGTGGAGATAGAGTGTCTTGACGGTGGTCCTGTGGGTTTAATTACACTGGGAGGAAAGACCCCACCCAAGTCTAGAGAACTGCACCAAGTACCACACACGTGTACTGTCACCAATCACAGCTCTAATGTAGTACACAGCTGCCTGTTTATTTGGCTCCATAAAACCCATTGTCTGACTCCTCTCATCTGCCATAGCAGCTAAGCAGCATGGGAAATGAATCACCATAACCGCCCCCAGCCCGGTCCATTCTGGCTGCCGGGTGGGGTCTGATGGGTGAATTTTTATGAGCTGCATTTTGACAATAAATAAGCCTTTGGAAAAATACTGTTTTTCTTAACTCTAGCTATAAGACCATTGTCCAATTTAAGGGAATTTTCCATAAAATGAAAACACTCAGCAACCAGAGACTTTGAAGCTCCAACAAGAACATAAAGCACCATAAGGTACCATGAAATAGTCCATACAACTCATTCCACAATTACACATTTTGGTAGAATCAAACCCCTTAGCATTTTAGCACCCTGGTAGTTCACTAGATTTAACATCTTCTGAGGCCATATGATAGCTTTCTATGAGAAAAATACCAAAATTTAAAGGGAAAGTTCACCCAAAAATGAAAACTCATAATTCATCAGTCATTATTTACTTTAAATATTTATTTAAATACATTATTTACCCAAATGTCATTCCAAACCAATAAGCATTAATCGACGGACATATATAAAACACACCAAACAAGGCAAACGTAAGATCAAACATGCTGGATGCACAAGAACCAATGAGGGTTGATCTGAAACGACTAGTAAATATGGCTGAGCTTCCGTTTACCATGTTTGATGAGCTCTATGTATGTTTTCTGAACTTTTTGAAGCATGAAATGGGATGGAATTTTTTGTTCCAAAGATGTAAATGTAAGTTTTGGATTTGGAATGACATGAGTAAATGACAACAGAACTTTGAACTGTCCCTTTAAGACATTAGTCACTAAAAACATTTCCTTCATCAAATCTCATTGGCAGTGGCACCTCTGCATATTCAATCATGCCTCAACACAACTGATCATAACAACATATAAGCCAGAACCAATCATTATTGCCATAGTGTGCGCATATTTGAAGACGCTGTGTGAATATTTGATTGTAAATGAAATTTGAGAGCTTATGAGTTATCCACAGGACACAAAATGTCATCCAACCAATTCTCAACATCTTCTCAAATTTACCAAAGGTATCCATGGAATGAGTCTCAACAGGAGTGACTCGTGACTAACTAGGATAGTGTGCCGCTCAGGTTAGCTGTGGCTGTCAGCAGAGGGTTTGGCATAGCTTTGTGTTTGTTTGATACGGACACAGCAGAAAGAAAGCACTGAGCCATTACAATCGGCTGATACTCTGCCAGACTGATATTGTCTCAGTTAAATATTCATGTCCACTCAATGACCGCTTTCTATCTCATTTGCAGTGCCCACAGCATTTGTTCTCACAGGCAGTGCCCGTGGTGACACAAACAGACAGGCCTGCAGTGACTGCCGCAGCATCCCCATTTCTTCTGAACACACGTCTGAACAGTCCTAAAATATAGTGGCCTCAAAAAGTATTTGGACACTTGCACCACACTTTAAAAATTTATGGATTTAATGATATTGATATGTCAGTGACAAATAAGAGTGTCCACAACAAAGAAAAGGCAAATTTTAATGATTTTTAAAAGATTCTAAGTTCTTAGAAATTAACTCTGTGTATTCATGCTGGTTTTGTACGGTTTTTAAAAACTTTTATACTGTTTACGAGAAAAGTTAAAATATGTATATATAAACACACACACACACATAAATATATATATATATATATATATATACATATATATATATATATGTTTATTTTACTACATTTTGCTTGTCAGTTCATTCAGCAGTAAACTTTAACCATATTTAACCATAGTTACATAGGAGTAATATATTAAAGGGGTCCTATTATGCTCTTTTACAATGTCTTGAATTTGTTTTGGGGGTGTACTAGAACATGCTCTCATGCTTGGTGGTTCGAAAAACACATAATTTTTTACATAATTTACATTATTACAATACCTTTCTCCCCAGTCTGGCACAAACGGCTCAATTAGTTCCAGGTTTGATGAACGTCCGCCTTCCGAAAAACGAAATGTGATTGGTTAGCTACCCCAGTGCGTTGTGATTGGCGAACAGCTTAGACGGTGTTTCAGTACTGTCCCACCCCTTGCCAAAGCAGCAAGTTTAGTTAAGGATGGCGTCAATATTGCCATATCATTTTGAGCTGGATTCAGACCCAGAGAATATTGAACAAGAGGATCGAGCAGAACCTTTGCACGCACGGATATTGCAAGACATATTAGAGTGGTAACGTTATTGTTTTTTTTGGGGTAAATCACGTTTTAGATAGGATGTCAACAACCGCTTAAAACTAACTGCATGTACTATGTACAGATAAGTGCATATGTATTATTTTTATTGTTATTTAATTCTAACATTATAACATGAATTGCAGTGAAACTGTTATACAGTTGAATTTATTTGTACCATAGTCCAGTGTTTCCCAGGCGGGCGGCATATTTATGCAAACTCCTTCTCTGCCAGCAATATTTACATACATAATTATTCAGGTGCATGTGTAATAACTTGTGAAAACTTAAGGCTACAGCAGCACTTCTTCTTCTTCGTCGTCTTGTCTGATGCGCTCAACCAAGCATTCTAACCACGGCCTCGTCCCTCCCCACCCCCCAACCATTCGTATTTCCGTTGGCGGGAATTATTTTAATGATATTCTAATGGGCCGCTTTGTGATATCACAAAACCCGAAAACTAAATATCTCCCTTTGGAGTTTACTTTGAGATTTGTAAGTTTGAAGATCTTTTTTATGCCCAAACACACTACACACGGACTAAAATTCAAAAAGGGGAAAAGCATAATAGGACCCCTTTAAAATTATATATACAGTGGGGAAAAAAAGTATTTAGTCAGCCACCAATTGTGCAAGTTCTCCCACTTAAAAATATGAGAGAGGCCTGTAATTTTCATCATAGGTATACCTCAACTATGAGAGACAAAATGAGAAAAAAAAATCCAGAAAATCACATTGTAGGATTTTTAAAGAATTTATATAACTGTAACATGAATGTTTTGGTCAGCAGCTAAAATATAATAAGAATTGTGCCCGTGTCCAAATACATGACTATATGTGTGTGTGTGTGTGTGTGTGTGTATCTATTAAAAAACATTAATATTAAAGGGGTCATATGATGCGATTTCAAGTTTTCCTTTCTCTTTGGAGTGTTACAAGCTGATTGTGCATAGATAAGATCCCTGAAGTTGCAAAGACTAAAGTCTCGAGTGCTTGCGGTGTTCGGCCAATCACAATGCACTGGGTCAGCTGGCAGAAAACGAAGCGTTTGAGAGAGGCGGGGCATAGAGGACCTACAATAATGTACAGTATTTGAAAAATAAAGTGTTTTTTGAACATTAAAGCATGTAAACATATTCTGTTAACATATACCAAATACACAAAATTCAATGACAAATACATTTTTAACAGTAACTTGTCACAATGTAATCAACACAAACGTTATTTGAAGCGCCAATTGCTTTGTCATGGTTAAAGGTGATTTGCTCTATTTTAATCGCTACCATAGTGTTCAAATCTGAACTATAAACTTTTATCCTAGTACTTCTGTGATAATACGAATAACTGTAAGACAGAAAAATACTGTGTAGTTGAAAGGCTGTTTGTGAAGCTGTTTCTTACCGAAACATAGTCACTGTCTGCTCTCTGTGTCAGTGGCAGCGCGAACACAGATTTTAATGTTCCGGTATGATTTTTTCAAAGGTTAAGTAGACACAGACGAATCGCTGTCATGTAAAAATTAGATAGACATTGCGATCTTTTAACGATTAATCGTGCAGTTCTAATTTCCAGGATATTATTGAAGTCCTTGTTTAACGCATGTTAATTTTCCAAAAGATTCGGTCTGATTTGTTGTACTGGTTTAAACAGTTCACTAAAAAGAACCATTTCAAAATAATGATTCGTTCACGAACTGGACATCACAAGTATGTTGTTGGCAAACCTAAGCAAGCGTTGAGATCTCTTCTGAAGCTTCAGGGAAGACACATATGAAATTACTAGGGTCTTGTTCCTCAGGAGAAAATTATTAGAAGTAGGAGACTTGTTAATTTACTCTATATTTATTCTGCCTGGGAGAAATAGTTGAGATATTAAAGAGATCTCATTTGTGATTTTTTTCCCTGTGGGATGTCAAGACTGATGATCCATGTGAACTAAATAGGGCAGCACAGATCCAATCAGCTTTGAACATAAACTTTCCCTTCTCATTTCACCAAAATCATACAGAAAATGCATCTCCCCCTATTTAGACATGCACACGCTCATTAACACCCTGGATTGAGCCATCAGAGGTTTGTTCATCACTCAAGGGAATTGCTTTGACCTAGATCCAGTGGCAACCATAAAGAGCATTAAACACAGGGGAAAACAAAACACTTCTGCAAGTCACACACAAAATGTTCTTTATAAGGGCGAAAACAAAAAATAATGATTCAACTGGTTTTTTTTGGATCCATACTCTACCACACAGTTCCAGTGATCTAGCTGAATGCGGGGCTAATTTCAAGTGTGTAGGGCTAATTTGAGCTATGAATTGCACTTCAATGGCCTCAAAGCTCCTGTCGTCAGGTTGCCATGGCTACTTTGGGACTAGACTGCTGCTGAGTTGCCAATCAGCACTGTAGTTTACAGCAGACACCCACCTGTAATGTCACTAAAACACACTGAAAGAAGAAGGGGACACAGCAGGACTCCAAACCGGGAGACTCAAAATGAGTCAGGACATTCATTGGAAACCTGAAGCGCTCTCAGAAAAACAACAACAACAACTGTATTTTCACTTGTTGTACTGCCTTCACTTTTTCCAATCTATAAAACAGACAACGAATGCACACACACACACAGTCTGGATATATATAAAAATTACCTTGCTGATGTGGAACTCCAGTCTTCGCATGTATCGCTCTATGGTCTTGATTTGCTAGGATGCAAGAAGAGAAAACGTCAAAAAATTAAGTTATTCTTTCAAAAAGAAAAGGCCAAAGAGAAGAACGTTTTTTAAACAGGGATGAATCTAAGTTCAGAGCCCCAAATTTTCAACACGGCTGACACCTGGGGCGATTAGTGTCGCAATAACGGATCACTGCTGCAGGAATGCAGCAAATCATTTATGCAAAGCTGCTTATTTTTCCTGCTGCATGTTTCTGACCTCAAACTTCTTATAAAGGTTAACACAGGTCACCTAAGACAGGTTAAGAAGCATTAGTGTGTTTAGGGACCCTACCTTGTCCAGATCATACAGCACACCCTGAGGAAGAAAAAAAGATATGTGAAATCAGTGGAAATGCTACAAAAAAAAATCAACATTTTATTATAAAAAAAAAAAAAAAGAAGATGTTTGACCTGCGGCGATTAGTGTCGCAATAACGGATCACTGCTGCAGGAATGCAGCAAATCATTTATGCAAAGCTGCTTATTTTTCCTGCTGCATGTTTCTGACCTCAAACTTCTTATAAAGGTTAACACAGGTCACCTAAGACAGGTTAAGAAGCATTAGTGTGTTTAGGGACCCTACCTTGTCCAGATCATACAGCACACCCTGAGGAAGAAAAAAAGATATGTGAAATCAGTGGAAATGCTACAAAAAAAAATCAACATTTTATTATAAAAAAAAAAAAAAAGAAGATGTTTGGACAAAATCCCTGCTGAAAAGAGCATCTTAGATCAGCCTGATGGTCCAGGCTGCTTTATGCTGTTTAATGGCAACAAAATTGAACTGATGAAGTACTGAAAATAGTTGACCAGGGATTTCTCGCTTCTTTTAGCTAGTAAAGATATCTGACTCCAGCACACCAGCATCCAACTAAAACATATGCTGCACTGCAATTAATGACTTTTTAATGAGTTTTTCATTTCTTTTTGTACTTTTTTCACTTGTTTTTTATTTGTTTATAATAAAAAGAAAGATATCTGCCACTGCAGTACGCCAAAATGTCTCCTACTAAAAATGCATTCTCTGAAGAAAAGTCTTAATATCTTATGCAGTATTGCTTCTCAAATAAAACATCTTGTTTATAGCATTTCTAGATATTCGAATACATTATTTCATTACAATATATGTTTTTGAAAATGTATAATATGCAAAATATGTTTTGTAAGAATGTAATATTGTGAAATATTATTGCAATTTAAATAACTGTTTTCTGTGTGAACATTCTGTAAAACGTAATTTATTCCTGTGATGCAAAGCTGAATTTTCAGCATCATTACTCCAGTGTTCAGTGTCAAATGATCCTTTCAGAAATCATGCTGATTTGCTGCTCAGGAAACATTTCTTATTATTATTAATGTTGAAAACAGCTGTCTTTGTGGACACTATGATCGTTTTTTCAGAATTATCTGATTGATCAAATTTAATGTGTCCTTGTTGAATTCCTTTTCAGTTTTTCAGCATGATATACTGTACATTCTAGAGTAGGGTGACCATACGTGCCATTTTCCCAGGACGCGTCCTGGCCAGGATTTCTATATTGCCTGAAATATCTAGGTTTTGGCTTTGTTTGTGTGTGCAGACTGATCGGTGTATGACATCAAAATAACTCGAGAGCATTTTGAAAGCATAAGGAACCATCTGTATGGTATTTTGATGTCATACACCGATCGGTCTGCACACGCAAACAAAGCCAAAACCTAGATATTTTAGGCAATATAGAAATCCTGGCCAGGACGCGTCCTGGGAAAATGAGGAGCCACAGATATTCATTTTGTTTTACCTGATATGCTTTTTTGACTCTCAAAGTCATGGTAGACATTGACTTGCATTTATGAATCACCAGAGACCACAGTTTCAGCTAAAAATCTTCTTTACTGAAGAATAAATATCACCTACATCTTGGAAGGCCTGAAGGTGTTAAAATTAAGAGCATTTTTTCATTTTTGGGTGAACTCCCTTTAATGACATAGGAAATTATTTCAAACAAAATAATAAATAACAAACAGTGATTACATTAATGCACTTATAACCGAAGATAAGATTTCAGGGGTTTAAATGCAGAAATGTACAGTTACTCCTTTTGCTAAAACAATATGAAATGAACTTGATTCATGTCACAGATTTATGTTTGGGTTTTTGCTTTTGCTTTTTTGTATGTGTATGCGGTAATCAAGCGGCAACCTCCCGTTCTCTCTCCTGAAGCCAACAAGGAAGTGACTTAAACTGTAATTCATCGACTGGCCGCTAGAGGCTGGCTGCAAAAGGGAGTCAATCCCATAGACTCCCCATGTTAAAATGCCCAACTTTACAGCAGAAAAAAACATAGAGTCATTAACAGTCATTTTGAGTAAAGATGCTTTCACACTACAGAAAACTCAGACAGGGTTTGACGGATAGGAATGCACAAGGTTGATTAAATCGTATCAACTCGATTTTGAGGACATTTAAAGAGACTGGTCCAGGAATACACTGAATTGGACTTCTGAAACCTTAGAAGCTAAATCCGAAACGGATATCTATATCAGTGTTTAGCTGATAAGCACGGCCTCACTGGCTACTGCTGGTAGATGCTGGAACTACGCAATCTTGTACTCTGACTAAATCAACAAACAACATTTACATTGTGAATAATTCATTATACTACAATGTTTCAACAGTTTATATCCCTGCTCTGCTGCCTTTGACTTAACATGATATTTGCTAATTGAAATCAACAGCACTCTGACGCAGTGTAAAGCCGATGATGTCATATCCAGTCTCACCAGTCTGGAGTTCCTCTTCATGTCTTTCATGAGGGATGTGAGTTTATCCAGCTCTGTTTGGTGCACCTCTAGATATTCACTGACAGAAAGAGAAAATGACAAAGACTTCAGAATGATGCAGGAACAATGGCCGTACACAAAGATTTCATCACAGCCATTCTGAGCAGCAGTGATTCATGCGGTCAATGTGCGCTCAATATGACTGTAGTGAGAGCTGAGAGAGAAGATCTATGTGACAAGAGGAAACATCTGAGCAGCACTCACTCCAGGCCTTGTTTGAGGGCTCCGTAAACTTCTTCCACTCTTTTGGGCTGCGGCTCTCGTGAGCTGCTGCTGCTGCTGGACTTGTGCCCGGACAGATGGGGCTTCCTGGGCTTTGAGATGGGCTTCTTCTGCACTGCTGAGTTCCCCATGAAGGAGTTACACCTGAAAACGCACAAACAGATGTGAATGAATCTTAAGAAAACTGTCAAGAACATGTGGTGGTTCTTTGCCACAACAAAATCAGCTAGCAATAAGAAATTATGTTTTGCTTTAAAAAAAAAAAAGCCTTATTTTTACCACCATCACGCTGACGTTTATTAAATCAAAGTTTCTGTGTTGTGTTGCCGCTCATCTGATTTTAAAGTTGAGCTCTACTGCATCAAATGTTACTGTCACTCAACCAGTTGGCAATTTAAAATGATTTAATTAATTTATTTTTTTGCAGTCAGCTGTCAGAGTAAACAAATATTAAGATTGTTTGCATTGTGACAATATTTCTGTAAACATAAGAATAATAATAATAATAATAATAAATACTTAATTTAAATGCAAAATGCTAATAATATACTAATACAATTATTAAAAATTAACATTTTTATTGTTGTTATTTAAATAGAAAATTAATTCTATGAAATATATCAAATAAATCACTTCATCATTACAGTAATGAGAATCTTGAAAATAGAAATTAGAAATAAAATATAAAACAGAAATTGCAAAAAAAAAAAAAAAAATGACCAGATGCATTACAGTCTTATTAAAATATATTTTATAATTAAATAATACACAATTACACAGAAATAATTAAAATAAAAAATGTATTCTTTTAATTTGGGGGTGAAATACTGTCTTCCAGTGTAAAAGCCAGAGAGTTTAGTGCAGACTTGAAGCCTGTAGTCTAGTGTTGGCATTTTAGTGCACTTCACGCTGTAATATCCATGCAAATAACCACCCTCTTCTCTTTTGGGAGGCTTCAAGGATTCATGTCACATGCGGATAAAGCTTGTAGTGTTGTACATATTCCTCAGTGCTTCCTGACATTTAAGACTTCTGTCAAAAGACGGGGTACTTATTAGCCTACTTCTGATGTCACAGTCCACCACATCTAATAATATTCCCGTTTCATAATAACACAATGGCAGTTGGTTGCTCGACATGAACGTGTCTGAACGTGTCACACGCACACGCGGTCAAAAAAAGCACTGCAAGTAGTGCTACAGTAAATCTAGGCCATTGTGTAGAATGAGCACATGCTGTTGCCTAAGGGTCATCCACTCACGATGCACTGCATCATGCTAAAATAAGCCAGTGTGCCCTGAACAAACACACTCATTAATGCTGTTACTGCACCCACTGTTTTACACAAACATAATAACATAATAAAAACTTTTGCAATTTTGAAGTCTATTTTTACTTTCCAAAATCTAGTGGAAAGTCTTCCCAGAACAGTGAAAGTGGTTACTGCAGCAATGGTTTTAAATTGTTTTAGCCTCTGACAGGGCAGATGACCTCACCGTGAGCGTCTCTCCTGCAGGGTGCTGAAGCCGGCGAACGACTGGCTCCTGATGATGCCATTGGGCCCTCCAGGAGAGTGAGTGCCAGCAGCCATGATGTCTGGGAAGCGGGAGGACACTCCTGCAAAAGGGCAGAGAGGATTCTGGGTAAGAGAGAAGTCAGTGGAACAGATGGGGGAAGGGTTGTGTGTGTAGAATGATGATGACCAAATGTTTAACCAGTACTCCATTTAAAGAGATAGTTCATCCAAAAATGAAAATTTGCTGTTCATTTACTCACCCTCATGAAATGAGCATGTGTGAACCAAGCACTTGAATTAAGGTTGAATTAAAGTTTTTATGGTGTCTCATGGTTTATTCACTCTATATGCTTTAGACATGTAAAACATCCACATTTCACATCATTAGTCAGTGCTTTACTATAACTGCATTTACGTCATTGTGTGATTCAGTAAACAAACTAGTGAATCAGTTATTTGGACCAGTTCATTGAAACAAACTGTTTGAAAGAACCAGTTTGCGGAAAAGAATTGCATTTCCCTGTTTGGATCACAGGGAATAATGTTGTAAATAATCTTAATAATTTCTTGCACAGACCGATTGTTTCGCTTCATAAGATCAAAATATATCATTCAGGAGCCACAGATATTCATTTTGTTTTACCTGATATGCTTTTTTGACTCTCAAAGTCATGGTAGACATTGACTTGCATTTATGAATCACCAGAGACCACAGTTTCAGCTAAAAATCTTCTTTACTGAAGAATAAATATCACCTACATCTTGGAAGGCCTGAAGGTGTTAAAATTAAGAGCATTTTTTCATTTTTGGGTGAACTCCCTTTAATGACATAGGAAATTATTTCAAACAAAATAATAAAATAACAAACAGTGATTACATTAATGCACTTATAACCGAAGATAAGATTTCAGGGGTTTAAATGCAGAAATGTACAGTTACTCCTTTTGCTAAAACAATATGAAATGAACTTGATTCATGTCACAGATTTATGTTTGGGTTTTTGCTTTTGCTTTTTTGTATGTGTATGCGGTAATCAAGCGGCAACCTCCCGTTCTCTCTCCTGAAGCCAACAAGGAAGTGACTTAAACTGTAATTCATCGACTGGCCGCTAGAGGCTGGCTGCAAAAGGGAGTCAATCCCATAGACTCCCCATGTTAAAATGCCCAACTTTACAGCAGAAAAAAACATGTTTACAGCCTGGTTCAAAAAATTATTTTGGTCTATATAGCTAATTTTGCCCTTCATGACAACTGTGAGGGGGGTGAATTTTTTATAACTCATCTGTTTAAATTATATTAAGCCTTAAAGTTCTGCATAATTAAGGGCGTGGCCACTTGAGTGACAGGTGGATTGCCGCTGCTGACACTGCCGTCGAGCTAGGTGGGCGTGGCTTCAGCAACCAGCTCCCGCCTCTTTGCAAATTTTTGATTATCCGGTAGTGACGAACGGTGATGCACTGCCAAGATGGCAACGGCCGGCTCCGCCCACTTTGAGCTTCAAAAACGCTCTTCAGAATACTACGGGTGACGTCACGGACACTACGTCCATGTTTTTATACAGTCTATTACCACCAATTGATATTACGACAAATGCTGTGATTAACTTAGTGAACCTGACACATTCACTGGATTTCATTTTTTTGAAAGATACTGGCTTTCTAATGAAAAGATATCCTGACAACTGTGGCTCTAGATCAAAGTACATAAAACCAGCTGAAAATCACACAGGAAAGCAAGCAATGAGTCATTTAATCTCCTGTGTATACAGTTACTGAAAATAGCACTGCTCGGTGAGAAGACCCCATACGGTGCACATTCAGAGGTTTTTATAAAATGCTCAAAGCCACCTGAGCCCACCGCAGAAAAAGCACTTAGAAGCATAAGGCGGCCTAATGGAGCCCAGAAAGACCAACGTCATCACTCATTTCTATCAAGTGTAATGATCCAGCGAGGCACAGAAGTCTCATGCTAACAAAAAGCCTTAAAAATCATCCCTGATCTCCTTATAGCTCATCTCCAACCTCCCATAATTAATCAGAGCAAAGCGGGATAATGACAGCGGCGATTTGAGGGTATCTGTGATCATCGATGTGAGAGATTCATTCTGACCCCAGATCAGCATGCAACCTTTGTAGCCCTGCCTGGCACTGATATCTACACCAGAAAAGAGGCAAAAATCTGGGTTTTGCAGTTGAGATTCTCTCCATAGTTGAGGTTTCACACTGAATCCAGGGGCTGTTTGTTGGAGATAACCATACACCTGTGGGTTTATGCTCAGTGCAATAGATACTAATTGCTTATAAAAAGCTAAACCAAACCAGTACAGCTCTGAAGTAGATGTTGTTTGCAGAGGAAAAACAAAAGAGCCTTGTATAACTGGCTATTTATAGGCAATGTTATATTGGTTTTGCCTCTAGAATTGACTAATGTACTGTACATCTTGATCATTTGACAAACACTCAGATCATCTTCATAAACAGGAAAATAAAAGGCAGAAATATTAAAAGAATACACAGCAGCATACAATTCTTGAAGTCTAAAATAACCCATCCAACAAGAGAACTGCTCTAGAGAATGGTGATATTAAATTTTCATATTTTTCAAAATAGGTGTCCCTTTTGTTGTTCTGTGTCCATAATGTTATCAAAACTATAAAGTAAAAACTATACTAGCTTAAAAACGGCATGATTTTCTAAATAAATATTATTTTTATATTAATATTCAAGAAATATTCAGTTATGAAAATATAAAATATGTTCCAATAAAATAGCCAATTAAAATAATCTACTAAAATAGAATAAAAATGTATGTATGTATATACTGTATGTGCATACACATACATTTTTCATTGTATTATATTATGTATGATATGATTAATATAATACAATGAACATATATATATAGTTGTGCTCATAAGTTTACATACCCCTTGCAGAATGTGCAAAATATTAATAATTGAAACAAAATAAGAGGGATCATGAAAATTGCATGTTATTTTTTATTTAGTATTGTCCTGAATAAGCTTTCACATAAAAGATGTTTACACATATAGTGTAATTATATTGATCAAAAAGACTAAATATATAAGTATATTTACTGTTATTTCAATTAAATTTATTAATTTACTAAATTTTTTATTGAATATTAATAGTGCAATGTCATTTATTTTGTATCAACGTAATTTATGCATCCAAGGGTTAATGCTGAAATCTATAAAAAAAACACAAAATGAACACAAGGAAACCAATATAACTAATTGCTTATTTTAACAAACAAAGGTTCCACTTCAGTTTCAAAAACACAAAGCGACACTGTGACAACCAGTGCATGCTGGGATTGTTCCACTCATTCTATTCAGGCCTAGTCGTCTCGGTTCACAGGCCCGCGTGAAGCGCCGTTGATGTGGGTTACGTCATCCCCGTCCCTCCGGGCACGCTCATAAGTATTCTGACTACAGCTGCCTGGCACCCAACTCTGCACTCTTCACTGTGAGAGACGGATGACGAGGACAAAAGAACCAGAGAGGGGGGCTTCATTAATTTGTCACCTCCAGCAGGGACCATGTTTATCTGGCTCGTTGAGGGTGTGAGGGTGTCTTGAAGCTGGCCTGGAAAAGTACTGAATAAAAAGTGTGTTTGAGGCAGAGGGGGTCCCTCGTTTCCTCCCAACAGCCCATATTATGAATTCTGACTAGTGTTTTTGTCGTTTTAAGCATAAATCTAAGTGTATCTATTGAGCTGTTTAAAATAAGAAAGCAACTGCGTAAAAACAAAAAAAAAACAACAACTCAAGTTATATTCTCTGAAAATAAGAACTAATATCTTACACTCTTAAAAGATACAGTGTCTTTGATAAGAATGCATAATATATCAGTACCGTATCGGTTATCGGCCAATTTAACAGTATCAGTCAATGCTGGATATTTCATTATTCCTGCTTATTTCCCCAATTTTTATATTTAGAATACTTTTGCTGTCATCTTCCAAAACACTCATCATTTAACAACATTGTTAAATGCAAATCTCAAAATGAATAAACATTTTTCATATTACCGTATTGGCCCGAATATAAGATGACCCTGATTATAAGACGACCCCCCTTTTTCTAGATGCACCTTTTGGAAAAAGGCTTTTTAAAAACCAAATCTGTTTTTTTCTCAGTAAAACACATTTTGTCTTCAATTATTTTCATATTGCATATTTTTCCTATTTTAATTTTTGTTTTAAAAGTATGGAAAAAACTGGTAAACTGTACCAACAATCACATTAAAAAAATATACACTTTTTGATATACCATTAAAAAATAAAAAAAGGTAGCCCATCTGAATTAGGACATTTAGGCTATCCATCTAATAGTAGCCCACCAAAATCTTATTAACAGTAGAAGTTAAATCTTACTGTAGTCTTCAAATCTGGTTACTGTCTTACGTTTTAAAATCACAAAGGGAGTTTGGTCGCGATCTTTATAACACGCATTTATGTATTTCATGGCATACTCGTTTTATGCGAATTTGGCACCACATATTGTTGTGGGTGTATTATTGACATGTCAAAGTCTAGACCCTGAATATAAGACAACCGTGTTTTTTCAGATGTATTTCCAAGAAAAAAACATCGTCTTATATTCGGGTCAATACGGTATACACAAATTGCGTGATGACTAAATTCCCTTGTATCTTATAAAAATATTTTTTTGTATTTTAATCCTTCATTTATCTAGACAAAATATTGAATTTTAATATCAACAATTTATTGGTTATCAGCCATAACATAAAAACGATTAGCTTAACATTTCAGACACTTTTAACACTAGTGCAACTCAAGTTTTAAAGGGATAGTTCAATCAAAAATTTAAATTCTTTCATCATTTACTCACGCTCAAGTTGTCCCAAACCTGTATGACCAAACAGCTGATGGTAGCCATTGTCTTCCATAGTATTTTTTAATCATACTATGGAAATCAATGGCTACCGTTGACTGTTTGGTTACCAAGATTCTTCAAAATATATTCTATTGTGTTCAATAGAGGCTAGAAACTCATACAGGTTTAGAACAACTTGAGGGTGAGTAAATTATGACACAATTTTTATTTTCTGGTGAACT